ATTTCCTTCGAGAACACCCCACATAATTTGCCGAGCTTTCAAATCTCGATTCTCATCACGCAATTTTTGCAATTCCATTTGTTCTTTTTCGATTCTCTGACGCAAAAAAGCCTCTTGATCCATCATACTTTTGGTATGGTCATTCCTCGAAACCTCCATAAACTCCTCCGACGATACTTCTTCAACACCTTCTCTTGATGGACAAGCCTCGGGGTTTGAGTTGTACGGACTATAGACTACCGCACATGCTTTGGCTTCGTAGGGAGTCACCGGCTCGGTGAGTTTCTTCATCAACCCTGGCTTCCTCTTATTGAATGATTTTTTCCTCGATGTTCCACCTTTCTTCATGTTAATATCTTTGTTATGTGTGTTTGTTTTGTTGGCATGAGGATTGTTTATATAGTAAAAGAGAGGTGCTTTGACCCATTAGGGTTTTTGTTGAATTTCGGATAGCGTATCTGTTCCATTCCTACGTGGACGCATGTGATTGAGTGTAAAACGATAATCTTTTCATTTTAGTGATAAGTAGTAATCTAATCTATATATTATACCTTTAAGAGATTCAAAGGCCAGAAATTGAGGAAATTAAAGGACACAAAGACCAAAGGCGAATAAGACAATAATATGAGTTATCTTATTATTTAGGTTGTCTTCTTAAAAGGAAAAAAATTACATAAGTTAATTTATAATATTTATCAATCTATATATTTATTGTTATTACTTTCATATTAATATAATTAATACAAAAAGAGTAAATCAGATTTCTTTTAAAAACAAGAAAAAGTTAGGTGACAAAAACAAAAAAGGATTTAACGAAAATAAAAAAAAGTTGGACAAAAAGTCATAATTTAGATAATGAAATGGTATAGTATATGTTACCAAAATCGTTACAACCAAACCATCATTATAATGCCCCGACCGCTATCTCTCTTAATGGACTCCACGTCCTCTTTCGGTATGTGGGCTCACCATCTTTCGACGTTTGGGAAGCTTTAAAGACTTGTTGTCGACCCTACAAATCATCACATGATCTTTTTCTGTGTTTTGTCCTCACTCACCCAGTTCTGACAATCACTTCCCGGAAGGTCACCCATCCTGAAACTGGTACAGCTCAAGCACGATTAACTGTGGAGTTCTCTCAGGATAGTTGACCGAAAAGATAAGTACACTTTGATGACATAGGTGACCAAATCAATTCTTTTAAACCTCTCCGCATGTACCACCATATTTCTGAAACCGGGATGTTATAATTCACCCGCACTTACAGATTGCAACGTCTTCGTTTCGTACCAAGACCATCACCCCCGATGGTGTGAGCCCTCTTGACTCTACACTATTTTGGGTTCGGCTCTGATACCACTTATAACGCCTCGACCGCCACCTCCCTTAATGGGCCCTATGTCATTTCTCGGCCCGTGGGCCCACCTGTGTCTAACGGCCAGTCCGCTATGTCGGGGAGGCTTTAAAAACATGTTTACCGACCTTAAAAATCACCACATGATCTTTCCATGTATTTTGTCCTCACTCACACAGTTCCGACAATCACTTTCCGGAAAGTCACCCATCCTGAAACTACTGCAGCCAAAGCACGGTTAACTATGGAGTTCTCTTAGGACAGTTGACTGAAAAGATAATTGCACTTTGGTGACATAGGTGGTCAAATCAATTCTTTTAAACATCTCCATATTACTGAAACCGGTGTTACAATCATCCATACTCTCCATTTTGGTTCAACGATTGTTTTAGCTTAGATATTTGATCAACTCGCCTATGCATCAATTGGCTTAAACGCCCGATTAATTTAGTTTTAATTATATTTTCATAGAATATCTCTGACTATTTAATTGCCTAGACGATTTAGTCGTCGCCCAATGTTTACTTAGCGTCTAGCTACTTTGAACATTAGTAATCTATACTAGTATCTTTGCAGTCACTTTTGAGTCGGGTGGGTAAAATTGTTCTCGGATACTTTGGATACCCGACCCGTTTATAAATTTTGGTCATAAAAAGTTTGTTGGGTCGGGTTATATTTAACCCAACTCATACACCGGACATTCCATATTTCATAATTTAGATATTTAGAAGATTTGATTAAGATATAAATTATGATTCTCCTATCATCTTTGTTTGATTTATTTTTAACTGTTTTGAATCATCATATAATACATAATGTAAAAAAAAAAGTCAATTTTTTTCTGCATATACTGTGATTCGAAATTTTAAAAACGGACATATATTATCCAATTGACGAAAATATGTGTTCAACGTTCAACATCGATTAAAATATTTATACAATGATTCAGAATCATATCATAAGTAAGATCAACATTAATAAAATAAATGAGTTCTTGGCCGGACGGGTTTGGCGGGACGGGTTTTTGAATCAACAACAATAAAAAGATTAAAATATTATTAATTCGCCGCTTCAATACGGATTAAATCCTTAATTTTTTTAATACCATCAGTATTAAATATATTAAATCAGTCTCATTTAGAAAAGATTGTATAAAACCAAAAATTGTCTTGTGGTATAATGTTACTTAATAACAATTATAAACTATAAAATATAAATATCTTAAAAATGATACAATTTGTAAACTTTTATATATAATAAATAACCGTTAAATTTTAAAAATTTCTACTTTTAGAAAACAAGTCACGGGATGGGTTATATTTCGGAACAAAATTATATGGTGGACGAGTTTGAATCAATATTTATAAAATTTTAAAATATCATTAAAATGCCGCTTTAATACAGATTAAATCTTCAGTTTATTAAAATATAAATGTCTTAGAGAATGATATGATTTGTAAACTTTTATATATAATAAATAATCATTAAATTTTAAAATAAAAATAAATCACGGGACGGGTTAAGAAACTACATAATGGGTTATATTCGGAACGGATTTATATGGTCGACGAATTTGAATCAATATTTATAAATATCATTAACATAACGCTTTAATACGGGTTAAATCCTCAGTTTATTAACAATTATCAAAAATATATATATATATATATATTTCTCCTTTAATTGTTCAAACTAGTAGTTCAATAATTAATTCAGAGATTGAAAATTATAAAACGTTTACAAGAATAATAAAATTATAAATTTATGTATGTAATAATATATATATATATATGTATGTATTCCGAAGGGAATCGGATATCCGCTAATTTGAATTATAGTATTTGATATTTGCTCCGATTTTTACGAATATCTATTTCTAATATTTGATTTGCTTCGAAAAGTTACGGATATCCGGATTTTTCAAATCGAATCGAATCGAATAACGGATCGAAGCGAATCTAACGGATATTTTGCCCAGCCCTATCCTGAAATACTCTTAGTCCACCTATCTTTTTCACTGTCTTTTTTTTTTTCTTTCTTATTATTCTCTGCAACTCAACGTAGAACTTAAAAATTTGAAAGATTTGGCCCAAATTGATATTTCAAAACTGAATGTTAATGAACATAGACATCGACCCACTCGATGTGAGTTTTTTCTCCAACGATTTCTTAAACGTGGAGTTCTCTTCGAGATTCGTCTTCAACAAACAATTCTCGATTGCTTGTCTATGATTTCCCATTTGAGTTTCTTGTTTGTATTTTCTCATATATCTTTGTTTATAGGGTTCTCAGCAAGCATAATAGCCACTTATAAAAACAGATTTAGCTCTCACAACCTCCTAAACTCGTTCACCACCGCCGTATTTGTTGTTTATGTGGTGGCCTTGTCGTATGGATGGTATGAGGCTTTTAATGAAAGTGGTACTGACGAAATTTTGATTTTGTAACTTGGACATATAGATTCCAATCCATTGTTGGACAACTTAAACCTATTACTATTTTATTTAATTAAAGTCTATATTATATAGTTTATTTTCCTCCAAGATTCAAGTGGAAAACTTCCCAAGATTTGAGACTCAATTATGTTTTCTCTTCTCCATCCTCGACCCTCACAATCACACATCCTCTCAATCTAGTTTTCATTTTCTTGAATCCATCACATTCACATCTATTCTTATCATTTCCCTTATTTCATTCTATTTATCAAGTCTATTTATGTTATTGGTGATATAGTATAAAATGATTTTAGTTTCACACACTATTCAGTTCTATAAGAAATACATAGCTGTTTTTCCAAATTCAAATCATGTTATGCATAGAAAATAAATCTAGTTTTTTTTTAAGTTATTGCAAGATTTAGAAAAATTACTTGAACGAAACTAATTCAGCATACAAAATTATTTGGGATATTGTTGATTTTGGCCATGTCATCATTACTCTCTCTCTTCTTTGACTCCTATCTCGCACACACGTCACTTTCTCAGTTTTTTCTCTATTTCCACATGATCTCTTCAGAAATCCAAATTGGTCTTTACACCAGGCTTTTGCGTTACTTTCTTTATTTTAATAGTTATGGTGCTATAAACTTAATTATATTAGTGAAATAGGTTATTCATGCAATTCATCCTAATGAAAAATGTTTATCTTTGACTATTTTCTAAAAAATTTTACATGCAATATAATTCAAATTCTAAAAAAAAATTATAGAAAGATTTTTCTATTTACAGCACAACATTTCTCCTCCATCAACCAAAAAGTGACTTTACATTTCTCGAAATAGGTGCTTCACAAGGTGACACATCTTTTTGGTATACACTGACACAGACATTCCACACGTAGAGCACTTTTTTTTTTTTTCATCCGAAATTAATTAGATTTCAAATAAACCATTCCGTTGTTTACATAAGTGATATGAAACGATTGTAAAAGAACGCTTCTTCATAACGCGTTTATAAAATCTTATTTTGCGTTTGCAATTTATTCGTTTACATTAACAAATAACAACAAAATCAACTTTTCAAATTATTTGAATACCTCTGATATTGATTTTTATAAAAAAAAAAAAAAAAAAAACGTATACACTAAACAGAATCCAAAAGTTTTATTATTAATTGGACCGTTTATGAAACTATGCATGCTCAAAAAAAAAAAAAAAAAGCTGTCATGATTGATTTCAATTATTCAGAGATATCATCATAACAAAATAATGAAAATTTCCTTATTCGCGTAATGAATTTAATAATAAATTTATTATTATTTGAAAATGATTTTATAACAGTCGAAATCGTACGGCAGATATTTGTTGGCCCCTCCTCTTATATCATCATCAACAACTCTCACAAGACAACAAAGCCCACAGAGATAGAGACACACACTAAAACCCTAATCTCTCACTCACTGTCTCTCTTAGCATCCATGTCTTCAACACAAGAAGCTTCCGTTACTGATTTACCCGTGAAGAGACCTAGAGAAGCAGAGGAGGACAATAACGGCGCCGCCATGGAAACAGAGAACGGTGGAGGAGAAATAAAGGAGCCTTCTTGTATGTCCTCTGTTATTCCTGGATGGTTCTCTGAGATCAGTCCTATGTGGCCAGGTTTTGAGAATCTGATTCTCCATTGTTTTCACTTTAACTCTATTCCTCTGTTTTTACCAATTGAGGTCTAATTTTAGGTTATTGTAGGAGAAGCGCATTCTCTGAAAGTAGAGAAGATTCTCTTCCAAGGAAAATCAGATTATCAAGATGTTATTGTTTTCCAGGTAACAAAGACAGTTTCTTGTTGGTTAGTTTAAAGTCTCATAGTCTCCAAGTTTGGTTCACTTGTATAAAGTTTTCAACTTTGTGTATTTCTCTTAGTCTGCAACATATGGAAAGGTTTTGGTTTTGGATGGAGTGATTCAACTCACTGAGAGAGATGAATGTGCGTATCAAGAAATGATCACTCACCTTCCCTTGTGCTCTATCTCTAACCCCAAAAAGGTAAATCCTTTTTGAACAATCTTAATCTCTTTATCAACCAAACTCTTTTTTTTGTGTGTGTGTGTGTGTACACCCTTTGTGATGGAGTGTATTGTTAAGGTAGCTTTGATAATCAAAGTCTCTTGCTTTTAACTCAATGAAAGGTGAGATTTCACATAGTTCATAGAACTTGTTTGAGCTAGAATACATCAAAATGATGATACTTTAAGGTATTATTGGGTGTGTGTTTGAGAGAGGTCTATGATTGAAGTGTTTGCAACTTTCTCCTGCTTTTGGTTTGTGGTTGAGGAGCTTAAAATGCTGCCTGCATTTTATGTTGCTATTGGATGTATATAACTTTAACCAAGTGGGTGGAATTGTTTCTTCTTATTCTACTTCAGGTCTTAGTTATTGGAGGAGGAGATGGAGGAGTCTTACGGGAAGTGGCACGTCATAGTTCTGTTGAGCAGATTGACATTTGTGAAATTGATAAAATGGTGGTTGATGTGAGTTGTCACATTCCTTTCATCTGTTCTGCATCTTGCAAGTACATTGAGATGAACTTTACTTAAGTTTAATATGTTTCCTTCAACTTTATGGGATCTTTCTTCAGGTGGCTAAGCAGTATTTCCCTAATGTAGCAGTTGGATATGAGGATCCTCGTGTCAACCTCATCATTGGCGATGGTACACAGTGCTCTGCTTGCATCTCTCTCTTTTGAGAACAGTTTTTATAAACAATGTTGTTGCCATTTTGCAGGTGTTGCTTTCTTGAAAAATGCTGCTGAAGGAACTTATGATGCAGTTATTGTTGATTCATCGGACCCGATTGGTCCAGCCAAAGAGCTATTTGAGAAACCTTTCTTTGAGTCAGTGAATAGAGCTCTTCGTCCTGGTGGAGTTGTGTGCACACAAGCAGAAAGCTTGTGGCTTCACATGGACATCATCGAAGACATTGTTTCGAATTGCCGTGAGATCTTTAAAGGATCTGTTAACTACGCTTGGACCAGCGTTCCAACTTACCCGAGGTCTTTGAATGGATCTTGAAAACATTTTGCTTTCTTTTTGCGTTGATTTCAAGAATTTGAATTCGTATGCGATTCATTTGCAGCGGAGTCATTGGATTCATGCTTTGTTCAACTGAAGGACCACATGTCGATTTCAAGAAGCCAGTGAATCCAATAGATGCTGATGAAAGCTCTAGCAAATCACATGGACCCTTGAAGTTTTACAACGCTGAGGTACAAAATAGTAACCATTTTACGCTTGTTTTTCAAAATGTATGTGAATCATCGTTAAATCGATTCGATCTTTTTCATTGCAGATTCACTCTGCCGCTTTCTGCTTACCCTCTTTTGCTAAGAAGGTGATTGATTCGAAAGCCAACTAGAAAGAGAAGAGAAATCGTTTACTTATGAAAAATTTCGCGTAGAGATGAATCATGATGATGTTGATGAATAAAAAGTTTCAGTTTTTATAATGTAATGTTTCTTCGTTGCTCAACAATGGTCTGTGACTGCACTGAGATGCAACTAGTAATTACTATCCATCTCTGTTTATTTGCCTTGAACAATTTTCATATAAATCTATAATACATATATGTATATGTTTGAATTTTGAAAATAAAAAAAAATTCTTACAAACATTTTGTGTAAAATATAAATTACAAATTGTAAATTCGTGTTAAAAAATAAACTCTAAATTGCAGAAAAGATTATTGTTAAGACTAATTTTAGTGTTTTGCATTCCAAAAATAGCAAAGAAAAAGAGGCAAAACTTTCTAATTTTTATTTTCTCTTTATCTTTAATTTCTCGTTGTGCAAATGCAAAAGCGGATAATCTGGCACGAAAAATTCGTACGGAACCGTTTCATATCACTTATGTAAACAACATTCCACAAGAATGGCTCTTTTGAGTATTATTTAATTACAGATGACAAAAAAAAAAAAAAAGAGGCAAAACTGTTTTCATGGGCCTTAGAAAAAAAACATTTTGGGCTTACATCATCAACCGTCCAAAACAGTAGGTTATCCAACAGAACTCGAACACGTGTCCACTGGTATTGTCGACGTAGGCGTTTTAACAAGACGTTGACTATCGTTATACACGTGTGTTCACAACTTCACATCGATCATGACATCACAATACCAATTAATCATCAATTATATTTGATTTTCTGTCGCTCTCCATTCCTAAGTGAAAGAGTTGGATTGCCACTTGAACCTTTTTTTTTTTTTTCTAAAAATGTAAATATTTTATAAAATAAAAAACGATTTAGGTTATAAACCTATACAAATGGTTATATGGCAAAAAAAATAAAAACATAGAAGCATAAATCATAAAAAAACAAATTTTAGTCTATCCACTCAATATAAACACAAAGGCTAATGGAGTTAGACGAAGTAATGACGATGTCGTTGTTTTTTACCAAATCCTTTGTTCGAGCTGAGAGTGCGAGAGTAAAGACGAAGAAGCCGAAATTACCAAAACTCCTAGCACTAGAAGCCTTTCACTGGAGGCCCAATAATGAGCCGTCAACGGTAAACTCCGCAAAGCCCTCCATCACATACTTCTCCCATGTCATGTGAGAGCGACTCATTGAACAATTCCATGAGCTATCACAAAAAGAAACCTCACAAACCAAATTATGCGAGCGGTGCAAACTCAATCTACCAAGTTCCTCTAAAAGTCGGCTAGCACAGAGCAAGATTTAACTACTCAAAACTACACCAAACGCCATTAGTCTTACTAGCTCCTCTAGAGCACAAAACTAAAGAAAACATAGCTAAAACGCTCAGCAACGCAAAGGCCTCAACTACACAACAACGTCAACGGCAAGACACAAACAACATCAGGGCTTGAAACCAATTATCAAGACTAGATATACAAGAGATGCAAACTCAAGGAGACGGAAGAAAGCCACCACTGGTAGCCACACCAACTCCAATTCTACATCACCGTAAGATTTGGAAAGCCACTTGAACCTTTAAGCAGCATTTAAAAATATACTTGAACCTTTAAGCAGTATATTTTTAAGTTTAACAAACAAAACCAAAACCTTTAAGCAGCATATTATAAGTAGAGTTCTTAATTAAGGCGAAGAAAAACTAATTATAGTATATGGTTTATTAGGTGAACATTTAATAGTGTTTGTGTACACAAGATGGTTGATTCAGCCCAGCCATGCGCGGATATAAACAATTATTAAGATTTTATTAAATTTAAAATCATGGTATATTTACGATTTAAATTAGGAAAAATTATAGTACTATATTATATTAAGAACTAAATTAGTATATCTTGAAAAATAGTTAATCCGGTCTATGTATGAATTGAGAATTAAAATAATTAAACCAACTTTATGTACACTTTTTAATTCAAGTTGTATATATTTAAACTAAACTGAAATATTTATGCTATAGTATCAAAGACTTTGAAATATAACGTATGTGTTGATTTTATAGCTTTATATTTTGAAGATGGGATTATAGATATGATATTTTATCATATATATTTTACAATATTTAAAACAATGGGTCTATACAATATTTTAATATACAATTTAATAGCGAAACAAATTTTGTTTGCTATTTTTTTTCTATATATTTACCTTTCAAATAAAATAGAGAAGATGTTGTCGGATGTAATTTCCTAATAAGATTTGTCGGCTTCGAGGATTGCAATATTATTATTTAAAGCCTTATTATTAGATGTGGGAGTGGGATCATTTTCGTGGCTCTAATTAAATGCTTCCCACCTCCCACGTCTTCTAAACTGAAAATTCAAAGGGAGTGTTGATAAAATGCTTTAGGGTCTGACTCGTGCTAGCAGGAAAAAACAAAGAAAGTAGGTTAGAAATAATTCTGATTATCGTAGAAAAGTAACCCTTCAAACAACAAATAAAAAAGAACATGTTTATACCGAAAAATTTATATTAATTATTATGTAAAAAAACAAGTTAAAAAATATAGAGTTCCACCAAACAATGACGCCATCGGTGGCTAAGTAAAGTCAATATATATATATATATATAACTAATTAAAGAGCAAAATAATAGTAGACGTTAACGTATTAATCATAGTCGTAATATGCTGTAATGACGCAAACCCGGGGATGCAGCGACAAAAGAACCATTACCTAACAAAAGTAGGAAACTCTCTTATAATTTGAACAATCTTCAAATAGTTTTATCCCATTATATTTGTTTTTTTTTTGTAATATTTTAATCAAGAATCGAAACACATAAATAGTTTATCTTATGATCAATACCATGGACCGGGTCTCAACATAATGAATCACATGCAGTATTATAACTCTTTAAAAATAGATTAGTAACTCTATTTTAACAATTTTTCAACCATATAGGTTATTTAGAAATTCATGTAATGGACAATTTTGGTGTCTTCAGATATTATGACCTATGAGTGAGGAGATAAGAAAGAATCGAATTTTGGGGACTTTAGATATAAATAACTCTATTTAAAGTTTTAAACTATTTTTCAACCATATATATATAGAGTGTGACTGGTTATACATTATAGAAGAAAAATAAAGGATAAACAAATAATTCTTCTGTATTCTACTAAAAATAAACCAATCAAGTAGAAAAGAGAAGATTTACTTTTCTTCTCAGTTCTTCCAAAAAGTGACGTAAAATGAAGAAACTTCTCAATTATAAAATACATGGTATACAAAATTCCTCCAGTTTATACTTTTATTTTCTTCTGTTTTCTTCTGATTATTTTTTTCTTTTTTCTTCTAACATTTTACCGGTCATAGCCATAGTTTACTTACAAATTCATACAAAGGGACACAGGGCCGGTCCATAGGTAAAGCCCATGAAGCAAGGGCTTTAGGCATCAAATAATTATAAGTAGTTTTAAGGGCATCAATTTTTAAAATGTTACTGTGGTCTAGTGGTTAGATTGAAGTCTTTTGTTGTACAGGTCATGGTTTCGAATCCCATACATGTTGAAATTTGTATTTTTTTTTTTATAACAGCTTTTGTTAATGGACCAAAATTTTTTTTGCTTTAGGCACTCAAATAGTTTGGGCCGGTCCTGAAGGGACAATTTTGGTGTCTTCAGATACGACCTATGAGGAGATAAGAAAGAATCGAATCATTGACAATTATTGTTTGTGATTCTGCAGAAATTGGAGAACACTTCACGTTCTTTGCACACGTGTATGTCCAATATCGCACGCCATATTAACCGGGGTTCCAATTGCTTCAGAATGTGTCCAGAGATGAACCACGTGGAAACCGGTTTGTAGAAAACCGGAATCTTCATAAACGCTTCTCGGTTTCTGTCATGATCTTAATAATCATGCACGCGTGGATCAAATATCTCTCTTTACTCACTAATTAATTTTTGATGATACTCCATCTGTTTTAAATTACTTATCGGTTAAAGTTTTTGCATAAGAATTAAAAAAACAATATAATTGTCTACTTTACCTTTGTTCAATATATTTTCCAAAAAATTTTACTTGTCAAAACATTAAAACTGTGAGGATAAAACTGAAATTTTTACAAAACATATACATTAAAAATCTTAAACAACAACTATTATGAGACAAAATTTAAGTGATAAAACAATAACTAAATTAAAATGGAGGGAGTAATATTTTGTATTATTTTTTTTGGCTTTCTTTGCTTTTGAAGAAACTCTCTAGAACTTCAAATTATCCACGAATAATCGAATATGTGGATCTCTGTGTAGACGCATAATTCTGCAACATTTATATGTCGTCAGCTTAATTTTGGCATTTTTCGTTACACGAAAATGGAACAAATGTAAAAGATCAAATAAGAGAGGACCCATAACCTCACATATGTGTCTACCCTTTTGATCACCCTCTCCATATAAAACCTCAAATGGCAATATATTTTCATTTTTTTCTTAAATTGAGTAAACCCATTACCCAAAAAGTGGTTACTAAAGGGAATTATTTTGTTATACATTCCACCACCGAAGCCAAAAAGCAAATAGATATATTATAATTGATAAAAATAGATGGCTGCTAGAATTAGAAAACGCATGGGTGTTTTGGATAATCCTATACTATATGTTTGGTAAATATAATATAACAGTATTCAATAACTTATTGTATTAAGTTGATTTATATAAAACCAACTCGTGCTACGAAACGAAAGTATAAATGCCGTGGAGCAAAATATTAGTAACTTGGTATATTAAATTATTACAAGGGTTGAGTGTTTGGTTAAGGGTTTTACATTTCTCATTTATAGAAATATCATAATATCATAAGATAAAACTAAACAAAAAATTATAGTTGTTGAGATTAAGTAGCTTGAATGTTAACTCAAGGTTTCATGCTCTTTCATTCGCTCTATTGCTTCGTTTTGAATGGAGCAATGAGACGGAAGAAAATAAGTTTAATTGTTAAAACAAGTCGCCAACAATTTTGAACCATTGAACAAAAAAAAAAAAAAAAGATACAAGAGCAAAAGTATATAATAAGATCATTTGAATGTAAAACATGAAAATGCTGCAAAATCTAGGGATCTTATCTTTATCTTATTATTGTTAAAAAAAGTTGGGTTCAAGCTATTAGAATTCGACAAATGTTTTGTAATATCCTTAATTACTTTTCAACAT